ACATTTCCATTTTTGGAGAGGATATAGGATCTACACAGCCAATAAAAAGTTCAGCGACTAAGTGACTTGCACCATAGATGACTTGGTATATTAATATGAAAAAGTTATTTTGTTACGTTGCTTTTAATTAAGTGTATAGTTACTATTACCGTAGAACAATTTTAAAAAAAATATTAATATATTTGATTCAATTCATTTACAACTAAAGTGCGGATCATATATACTCTGATCCACACGTTGGATTTGGAAAAACCATCACCATTCAATTCAGCAGCTTTAAAAAAAGGAGTCAATTCACTTGTCTCGATTTCTTTTTTAAAATTTCAATGTTGAAAATTCAGTACGGGAGAATGTGGAGGAGATGTAACATTACACACCAATCAAAATTTAAATTTTTGGAGATAGTTTCTGACTTTTGTACTAGTTGCACAATGACACTGAATTTCCGTATTATCTTTATTTTATTGTAATGGGAAAAAAAAATTTTGTTACATGCTAACAAAATTGGAATTTTTAAAACGCCAAGCCGGTCCAATCAAAGCAGTATTTTTTATAATGTTTCGCTCATTTGTAACACACACCAAATTTGGTCCATAACAATTTACTTACGTAATTGGAAATTTAAATTGGTGCAGGTGCATCTATAATCAATTAATTGCGTTCAAAAAAATTTTATCTTTTTAAAAAGTTAACCAATTGTTCATGACTCAATTTATGGGCATGTATAAAAAAATTGCCAATCCAAATATTTAGATGGTCGGGCCATTATGAAGAAAAGGCACGGTATGTATTTGGGCGTTTGTTTAATCAATAAGTTATTATTATGGCACATTGTCAATACATGTTGTTATAACTAATATAACTGAGTGATTGAAAACTGTAACCTTTATATATAATTCATAAAAAAGAATTTGATTTTTTTTCATAAACATCAAATTTGGCATAAAATCACAAATTTTACATAATACATAACTTTATATATAACTTATATAATCTATACTATTTACAAAACCTTTTTAGCACATATCCTAGATACAACCAAATACGGTTTATAATGAGGATCATCCAATTCAGCAACAATTGATTCGTATTCTTTATTACCTATTCCATCAATAGCCAATGATTTAATCGAGTCAAGTATCATTTCGCCACCCTTTTTTTTGATTTTGTTTTGTAAATTTTTTAGAATATGAATTATAGTAATATATAATAATGATGATGATGATGATTTTGTGAATAAATACCATTCGTCCAAGTGTACTATCATTACTATTTAATGGCAATTGTTTACTTGTTGAAACAATATCATCAATAAGATTGGCTTTGTCTATAATATTTGGCAATCTTTTATATATATTGTAATCAATTCCTCTTGAAGCTATTTTGGATTTTACTTTAGAAATTACAAAAAAAAAAAAATCAAAAAAATTTTAATTCCTCCATTCCCTAATAGTTTTAGAAATTAAAACAAAATGTCACTTACTTTTCTGCTCAAGTGATTTGATTAAAGGACCAGATTGATAAATTTCACAATTAAATTCAATTATCTTTGAAAAATAAAATAATAATAATTATTTATTTATTTTAGAATGATTATAAACAGGTTATAAATAGATTTGCTTAACTTCTATCAACCCCCCTGGCTTAGTAACTCGTATAATCTCTTCAATAACTTCAATCCATTGCTCCTCTCTATACGCCAACATTAAATTCCTTTGATGAACATAATCAAATGTATCATCAGGAAATGGTATACCATTGAGAACGTCCTCTTTCAAGAATCCGACATTTTGTGGTCTATTTTTTGGAAACATTGGAAAAAAATCCACTCCTATGAAAATTGACATTGGATAATCATGTGCCATATCTAATATCCAGCAGCCTTGTCCACATCCTATATCTAGCACTGTCGCATTACCTAATTCCAGCACTTCTTTTACAGGCGCAGAAAAATTATTGCCCCAAAATATTTTGAAAGATTTATGAATGTATTCCATTTTTTTTAGTTCTTCTTCATTGTTTATGATTGGATATGGTGAACTCGGAACATCATTATAATCTTGAGATTCGATTATCTTGTAAACGCTTAAGCGTTTTTTTGATTTTGGATTTTTATTAAAATGCAGTATAAGTTTATTTTGTCGTTGAGTTTTTTTTAATGATTTGGAACTAAAGACGCCCATTATTGAAAAACGAAACATAAATTGAAAATAATGTTAAATTTTTTGATTTTTTAAAAAATTTTATATACATTATACCTCTTTTATATCCCTTTGTTTCCATATTACCAAGTATGTAGAATTAATATAAAAAAGGAAACCTGATAAAATATATGACTGCATTGAGATATATTCCATAAAAGATGAATTATTATTATGTAATATTTGTTTAATATTAATATCTTGCTAATTGTAAACAGGGTGCGAAATGAGGGGGAGGACACAAAAATTGAGATGTTTTTAGAAGTAACCTAGTTTAGAAAGATTTTCGATCCCCAGTATCTTTTATAACGGTTAGTACTTCGCGTTATACATGCTACCCAAATCCCAAATCATGGCATTCAAAATGCACAAATTAAATTTGGAATGAATGATTGAAATTTATGGCATCAAATTATTTATGTATCCATCCATTCAAAATTATAAATGCCACCAAAATTAAAATTCTCAAACACTACATTAAACCCCTTTTCATTAGTATCACTGCATCAATACTTTTGATTCATTCCCATATCTATCCATGTGACACATAGGTTCACTATATGTTCATCTTTTAGCTTTTGCTCACAAGCTCCTATGCTCCTTAAATTATCAAGATTTATACATTTGTTCTCTTAAAAAAATCAAATATTTTTTAATAATAATAACATTAGTTGTATTAATTGTAGTAATTGTAATTAATTGCTTATATTGCTGATTCGCGAATGAATCGGAGAAATGATCGACATTTTAATATAAAATTTTTATGCTAATTGTTATTAATAAA